TGTGGCTGCGACAATTACGTAGGCTCCAATCTCTGGCCAGAGAGTTGCGTGCAGCCACCAACTTCTCCACCGATGCCGTGATTCGGCGCACCCTCACATGGCAAGCAATCCGACGTGCCAAGGGTTTTTCCCCTAGCTTCTCAGATTGGTGGCCGTTTATAGGCCCTGCGTACAGGAGGCCGACCCGGCCAGCATACCACGGTTGTGTCCCGAAGCCACTGTAGCGGAAGCGATCCTCCTCGGGTTTCAGGCTAACTTCAACGATCTCGAAGCCAGTTTGAACCGAGACAGAATCAGGTTCGCCAAGGACAGACGGAAGGCACACCCCTCTCTGGTCTTCCAGGACATTTCTAGGCCAAAAGCGAAGCCAGTTGACATCTTCCTTACTCGCACCACTGCTACCGTCAGTGAGGTGGACCATGAGGAAAGTGCCCTGTGCTTGGAAACCGCGGGAAAACTGTGCCACTCGAAGCCCATCAGGCCCGGGGGAAAATTCTGGATGTAATTCACCTAGACGCAGACAAAATCTGGGTCCAGTCCACACAGGACCTCCAACCTGGGGACGAACTCGTCCAGGAAACCATGGTCGGCGAACTTGATGAAATGTTTCAAGCCTTTGCCAACGAGTGGCAAACACGATGGGCCAAGCACGACGCCTGGCCACAGTCCACCTGGGACCATGCCTCCGAACTTGCCTGGGCCAGCTTCCCACCCCAACTACACCCCCTTGATCCTATCACGGAGGAACAGTGGAGAGCTGAAGTCAGGCGCAAGCCACGCAAAGCAGCCGCAGGTCCGGACGGCGTTCGCCGCGAGGACCTGCTGAACCTGCCATCTGACATAGTCCGTGGCATTCTTGCATTGTATCACCAAGCCGAGACCACGGGCAAATGGCCACCGCAACTGGTCACAGGCATTGTCAGTGCACTTGAGAAAACATCCTCACCGAATAGTGCGGCCTCCTACAGACCAATCACCGTGTTTAGCCTGCTCTATAGGTTATGGGGCAGCATCCGATGTCGCCAGTGCATACGGGCGATAGCGCCAATCCTTGATACCAATATCTTTGGGAACGTGCCAAAAAAACACGCCGGTGATGTATGGTGGAAGCTGCAGAGCCGCCTTGAATTTGCTTGTGCCAACGGCCAGGAAGTCGCCGGTCTCGTAGCGGACATCACAAAATGTTTCAACTGCTTGCCACGTACGCCAGTTTTCACCGCAGCCATTGCCGCTGGGCTGGACTCCGGAGTCGTTAGAGCCTGGAGCGGAGCCACTTCTGTTATGGCCAGGAGATTCAAAATCCGAAATTCAGTAGGCCCTGCCCTACACGGTACGACAGGGTACCCCGAGGGATGTGCCCTCTCTTGCTTGGCCATGGTACTTTTGAACCAGGTCCTGGCAACTCACATGCGCCTCAATGCCCCAGGGGTGAATATGTTGTCGTACGTGGACAACTGGGAAGTCCAGACCCACGAGGCCCGCAATGTCCAGCCCGCATACCGGGTGCTTCAAAGCTTCGCCGACGCCCATGACTTGCATTTGGACCAGGATAAATCCTATATCTGGGCCAACAATACTCAGGGGAGGAAAATTGTGAAACGCACGGGCTTATCCCTTAAGCTCGCGGCCCGTGACCTTGGAGGGCATGTGCAGTATAGCAGACAGCCCACCAACGCCACGCTTGTAGAAAGAATCACTAAGCTCAAACCCCTCTGGGCTCAATTACGCCAGTGCTGCAGTCCATACAAAGTCAAACTCATGGCCATCAAAGCCGCTGCATGGCCTCGAGCTCTGCATGGCATTTCCATTTGTCACCTTGGGCCGGAAAATTACAAACATCTCCGCACCGGAGCTATGCGCGGACTAGGAGCCAAGAAGCCAGGGGCCAACCCCAAAATCCATCTTGGGGTGTTGGAGGAGCCCAGTCATGACCCGGAGTTCCATGCTGCCTGGATCACACTGCGGACATACCGAGCACAAGCCGACCCACAAACGCTCGCCACGCTCACACTGGCAGCGGCCGCTGCCACGGGTACCCGCACTGGACCCAGCCGGGTATTGGTAGAGAGGTTCGCTGCCTTTCAGTGGGAGGTCGGCCCAGTGGGTGAAGTCGTTGACCAACTTGGTGAATTCTCCTTGCTACATGATCCAGCGCAGAGCGTTTATATGCGCATGCGACTAGCGTGGAACCGCCAAGCCGGTGCCTCGGTAGAACATCGACCCGGGTTTGCAGGTATGAGCCAAGTTGACGCCAGCCTCACAAAAACAGTTCTGGGAAAACTTCCTGACACGGACCAGGCCATCCTCAGGCTAGTACTCAACGGCTCCTTCTTTGCGAAGGACAAGGTGCACAAGTACGATCCGAATCAAACGGAGCAGTGCCCGCTCTGTCAAGAGCCCGACAGCATGCATCATAGGCATTGGGAATGTGCAGCAACCCAGGCCTCACGCCAGGCCATCCCTGCCGGCATCGGAAGCCTGGAGCTTCTGCATGAATGCACTCGTGAACGGGGTTGGGCCACCATATCCCCGCAGCAAATCCGGTGGATGAAAAGGTTGCTTGAGCCAGTCACTTTCGAATACCGTGCTCCGCATAGTGAATCTGGCGCCCCCTTGAACCTTTTCACGGACGGCTCGGCGCAATCGCCGCAGGACCCGGTACTCAGGTACGCTGCCTGGGCAGTCACCGCAGTTCACGAGCACGACATTTGGGAAAACCACATCGTCACTCAAGGACCCTTGCCAGGACTCCTCCAAACCGTGCCTCGAGCAGAGACGTATGCAGTTAAGCAGGCCCTGGAAGTGGCCATACGGGCACACAGACCGGTTCAAATCTGGTCTGACTGCCTGGGCGTCGTCCGCAAAATGCAGGCCATTTTGGCCGGCAGCGAGCCCAGTTGGGCCAACGCAAGAGACGGTGACCTGTGGGCCGACATAGCCGCCTCCGCCCAGAAGCTAGGACTTGCTAGGATAAAAATTACAAAAGTTGCGGCACACACCAGTGAAAATGACCATACCTCACCGCTCGAGGAATGGGCAGCCTATCACAACGCCTGCGCTGACAAAGCAGCAGTTCAGGCCAATGCCAATCGGGACCAGGCCTTTCACCTTGCCCGTAGTGCATGTGCCGGAGCCAGGCAACACCAGCGCTTGGTTATTGCTGAGCTGCACGCTCACTTTGTCAGAGTTGCCATGAAGTTTCTCCAAATCCAGCCGGGTCAACAAGCCCCAGGGCCGCCCAGGTTGGCCCAACCAGTTGTTGCTTTCGTAGTGCCGGGTAACCCGCTGCCGACGCCGCACCGGGCGTATGGTAGACTCGGCCAGAGGGTAATTGATACAATGACACTTTGGTGGAAACATTGCTTGAAGGATGGGCCCATTAGATGGGTATCTTACATGCAGCTTCTCGTTGCCTACCAGCAGGCCACCGGGTTCCAAGGCCCGGTACGTGATGGCAAACTGTGGCATGAGCCCAATCTCCAAGGCACCACCCTGGTGCCACGCACGCTGCGTCAACGAACTAAGTGGTTCAAAGCAGCCCTCAACGCCCTTTGGGACGAGCAAGGAATCTCCTACACGGTTGCCTTTGCCCGGCCAGAAAGTGAAACTCTCTGTGCCTGGCTCCAGTGTGTCAGCGTTCCTTGGCCTCAGAACAGGCATGAGGCGGTCGAGATTTGGCTTGGGCAGCACCTCCCACATGTGCTGCGCCGCACAACGCAAGGGGCCGGCTATTTGCCACCAGCTGGCCCAGTGGCTTTGCTCAGAATTCAGACCCTACCGTCGAGCTCCCTGCTCCGGTGGATGAGAAGAACGTAGATCGTGACTCAAAGAGTCGTCAGCCGGCCGCGTGCAATAGCACCACGCCGGGATGAGCCCGGGAGAAAGTGAGAAAGAGGTTTTCTTTTGATCGTTTAGGTTCTTGGGCTCGTCTATGGCAGAGGATCCAGCCAAATGACCGGCTTTTTGATGGTCTGGCGGATTTCATCCCAAAAGCCCGGCTCAAAGGCCGGAAACCCATAGTTGAAGATCTCAGATTCAGGTAACTGACAGGATGAAACAGCACAAGTGGCCAAGGAAGGAGGATTTGAAGAGCACCAAGGATGCGGTTCGCTTTTTCGAGCAGGCCAGGAGTCTCGAGGGCTGTGAGATCTTTGGGCTCGGGAGTGACTTTGATGGTCGAAGGCACGCAAGCGCAAGTCATGGTGAATCAAAGTTTGCCAAATGAATTCCTTCCACTGCGCCCTGCCAAATGGTTGGCTTCAACTTGAGGTTTGTTTGGCGTTTGCTTTTCAGCAGCAGCGTTTTTTCATACTGCCGCTCGGAGCGGGCTGTTTGCCGCACGTCGGTGGGCCTTGCAGGCCAAGAACTCCCGCGATGCAGGGGACCTCCGCACGGTGCGCCGGGCCGGTTTGGGGGGAACAAGGTTCCCAATGCTTCCCTGTGCTGCTTATGTTCCCTTTTTGGCTGCCAGTTCAAAATGAGCTTCCTGCTGCGGGGCGGAGCCCTGAAAGGCTGCAAACGTGTCCGATCCTATGGGGCTTGCTTCTTGAGGCTCCACCCTTTTCACCTGAGTGTAGGGGGCCATGCAGAAGGAAAGCAAAGGTTATGTCGGTGCCTCGGTTTTGACTGGAACATGTCCCCCGGAGGAGAATGCTTGGCCCGGGCCTGGCCCAAAAAGTTCAAAAAAAAAAGCAAGCCTCCCATCCTAGCCGCGGAGGGGCATTTTGCTGGGACCCCAGAGGGTAGGCTCCAACGGAAGGGTATCCATCCCCGCTGGGATGGATCTGGTGCTGTCCCTTGGAAGGGGGGATCTCAGATGAAATGTGGGAACCCTGGCGCAACAGCGGGAAGTCGAGTTTTCACTCCAGCTTGAACAGAATCGTCACCCACCATTTGCAGGCGGTGCAAAAGCTCCGAAAGGCCGGGCCGGGTCAACTGGGCTCGCCTGCAAACGCGGGTCCCAGCTTTTCCAGTCTCTCCGTTCTCTTCAATCCTGGGTGATGGTTACGTCGGTTCCCCTACTATTTGTTTCTCCCAATTTCTGTCAGATCCCCTGGGTCACACGGGGAGTCTGCGTTTCAAACCACGCCGGATGGCTGGAGATCCGAGAGATCCGCAGGCCCGGGTGGCCATTGGCAAGGCGCGGCCGGTGGAGTCAGGTGTACGTGGACGTGCCTTTTTTGGGAAGCCCAAGTTGCGGTTTTCCTTGTGGGTTCCTCCAACCAAATGCTCTTAGGCTTCCGCCGCGGAGACATCTTGCCTGAAAAGGCATCTTTGAAACATCCAACCTGCAAGCAGCTCGGCGAGTGGAACGTGCGCCAAGTCTCTACTTTTTGAGTGTGCCTTGCCAGGCGATGGGGAAGGGCACCAAAGACTATGCCCGAGTTTGCCTCTCAGCTTTCGGCAGAGCCTCGCATTTCAGCCAGGGATCCCGATATATCCCGATAAGCTGCAATCGGATGAGTGGTCCAAAAATGGTCCCGTTGAAGCTTCCTTCGCCCCCCAAAAACGCCATAGTGGTTGGCCAAAGGCGGTAGACGACAACTCCAGGGACTCAAACGGTGGAGGAGAACTTGCAGGGATTGTGAGTTAGGGTGGGCCTTGCCCATCTTTTTGTGGTATCCTAGCGTAGCCCCCCCCCTACGCAAGAACAGCATTTTTCAACCATTTTTTCACTATTCAAATCGTCATCCTTATTCATTTTGCATATTTCCACTCAAAACATTTCATAACAGTCTCAACCTCAAAATCCATCAAACAAGTCACATTTTCTCATTTTCTTTTCCATCATTCTTGTCATTGTTAGGATGCTTGAGTGGAAATAGGAGTATAGGGTGGTTCATATGATATGGTTATTGATGGTAGGATGCATGGGCAAGGTTAAGCTCATTCATAAAAAAAAATCAAAAATAATATTGTTCAAAAAAGTAATATTTTCAAAAAATAATATTTTCAAAACTATAATATCGTCAAAAATAATAATAATTCAAAAACTAAAGTTTAAAAAAAATAATAATCAAAAAATAATATTTTCAAAAAAAAGGTATTTTTTCAAAACATAAATTTTCAAAAATATTATTCCAAAAAATATGATAAATTATCTTACAGTATTTTATCATAAATTTTGTAGAAATATTATGGGCAAGGTTATGTTCATTCATTAAAAAAGAAACACAAAAACAAATTTTATAGAGTATAACTATGGTATAGTGAAAGGTTATAAAGTTTTACAATGTTAATTTATATTATAATAACATAATATAAATAAACTGTCGCCCCAAAAAAGGGGGAACCCCCACCTAATTTCAAGAAAAAAACATGCTGATTTGTCGTTGGATTATTATCTATGAATAAACCCCCGTATCTTCATCATAGTCAATTTGATAAAATGTCATAGTTGAAGCCTTCGGTTCTTTAATTTCTTTGTTATTAAGTTTGTTTAAATAAATATTTCTTTTATTTTTATATTCACCATTGGTTCTATCTACTTCTTTACTTTGATAACTGTTTGTTAAAGGTTTCTTCTTTTCCATTTCTTGCAAGATTTCTAAAATATTCTTATTCTGTTCTAAAACCTTGTTCAGTTTTTTAACCATCTTTTCTAATCCTTCATCCATGTAAATATATATATATATTATATTATAAAATAAAACTTTTAAAACTAAATGTTTAAATTATGTTAAATCTACTCTTTAAATACTAATTTTTCATCATTTGTTTAATAGTTTCCTGAGTTTCCTTATCACCATTATCGGATGAGTTTATATTTTGTTGTTCTTTCTGTTTGTGGTATTTTTCCCTGCTTTTCCTGTTGATTTCTTCTCTATGTTCTTCTTTATATATTCTTGCTCTTTCTTTATATTTTCAGCATTTCTTAAATATTCAAGTCTTTTTCCCGCCTTTATCTGTTCTTGGTGTTTTTCACGGTACGCTTTGTTATCCCTTGCCTTTTGTTGCTTGAAATATTCGGGGTTGTCCTGTTTAAACTCTTGTTCAGTTCTTCCCGGCACTTTAATGTTTAGTGTTGGTTTCCACTCTCGTATTATTTCGCCTTCTCTTTTTTGTAACCTACTTTTGTTCTCACAGGGGCATTCTTCAATTAATTCAATGTAGCAGTTTTCATATCCGTGTTTTATCATAAATGGATAGATTAATGTATTTTGTCGGTTTTGTTTCTTCATATCACCTCTATGCTGTGCCATTCTTTGACTTAAACTTTGACAGGTGCTTCCAATGTAATAATCTTCGGTTATATTATTTCTAATACAATATATTTTACCGTTTTGATAATTTTTAGTATTTTTCACTTTGACACTATCCATATTGTTATAGATTGTTTTTTATTGTTTAAGTAGTTTTCATTATTTGTTTAACAGTTTCCTGTGTTTCGTTTTCTCCATTATCGGATGGAGTAGCGTTCCGACCCCATTTAGATGTAATATTATGAACATCTGTTTCTAAGTTGATACTGTCTTTAGTTTTATCAATATTCATTTTCTTATCATTCTTACTTAGTTTGAAACTTGTCGGAATACACGAGCATTTACAATTTCCTTTCTTTTGTATTTCTAATTCATTCTTCATTTCTAACATCTTTTTACACATCGGACAAGCAAACTCAATAACTGATGTTTCTTTAACAACTTCTTCTTTTTCTTCATCAGTTGAAGAAACAACTGGTTCAGTCTTATTCTTTTTCTTTCTTCCCATTTATATTAATATTTACATTTTTATTTTGATATATTGTATCACACACTTAATTAATTCTAAAACAAAATAACATATTTTTTTAAATCTATTATCAGTTATAACAACTTGTTCTATATTCTCTACTTCATCTATTATATTGATATAATCTGAATAGCTTCTATTCATATAAAATAATCAATATAAAATATTTTCTAAATAACTTTAATATTATTTTATTATGTCAGATGTTCCAATAATAAAGCCAATAAACAAAACTGAATATGAATTCAAACAATCTAAATATGAGCACGTGCCAAAATTACCATTTAGAAGTATTATAGTTGCGAGTTCGACGGGAGGCAAAACAGTTTTAGTTCAGAATCTTATTTTAAATGTTTATAGAAATTCATTTGCAAGAATATTTATATTTTCACCCAGCGTTTATAATGACCCAACTTTTACAGAAGTAAAGAAATATATTAGGGATGAACTACATGTAGATGATGAAAAAGAGCAAATATATTTTGATAATTATAATCCAAGTGATTTAGAAAATGTAATTGAAAGACAGAAGAAAATAATTAATTATATGAAATCTGAAAAGATAAAGAAATTGCATTCAATATTAATCGTTATAGACGATCATGCCGACGATCCTAAATTTGTTAGATATAGTAAATTATTACATGGATTATTTACAAGAGGTAGGCACGATGCAGTAAGCGTAATTTGTTCAACACAAAAATACAATGTTTTGGCGCCTATCATTCGTTTAAATGCCAGTTCATTATATATTTTTAGGTTGAAAAATGCCAGTGAATTAATGAGTTTTATTGAAGAAAATAGCGCCATTGTTGACAAACAGCAATTATTAGATATGTATCATCAAGCAGTGAATGACGCACCTTATAGTTTCTTCTACGTGAATATGAATGCTAAGAATGTGAATGACATGTTTTTTCTCCGTTTTGAACAGGCATTTCAAATTACAAATGATGAATAAAGATATTCTAATTTAATATAATATAATAATATGCTAATGAAACTATGTAGATGTGGTGGATTTTATCGTAGAGGCAATTACAATTTTCATACTAATTCTTGGATACATAAACTTTATAAAGTGTTAAAAAGACGACCAACAGACGAGGAATTATTAAGATTTCAAAATAATTTTGTTGATGAAGAAGATTTAATAGATGATATGTGTAGCAACGCCTCAACAAAATTACCCGAAAGTGAAATGACAGATTATGATAGTAATTAATAATATTAATGTATGTTAATATTATCAATTTAGAATAAAGAATAGCTACATAAATTTAAGGCAGGAAATTTATAATATGTTTTATCTTTTTTACATTCATTAACTTTTTCTAATTTATTTATTATTGCTTTCAATGAATTTATTTGTAGAATATCAATTCTTGACATTTCACTTATCGTATTTACATCTATATCTTTTATTACTTTAATAGCCTCTTCATCATCAATTTCTACTGGTTTTGATTTACTTGAACCCATTATATATAATATTATTTAGATTTTAATTTTTCAAAATTATATTTTTGTTTTTCTTCTCCGTCTTCTTCTTCTTCGTCTTCAGTTGGTGCTGGTATTTCTGTTGGACTTTCAGATGAAGAACTATGAACAGTAATAGGTGGCGAACTATGAACACTAATAGCTTCATTTGATGAATTGCTACTGCTACTTTGTGCATTTCCTGCTGTTATTTGATTAACTAAATCTGCGATATTTATTGTTGTTGCAATTGCGCTATGTGATAAGTTTAATATTACATTTGCTACTGTAGCGCCGTTGTGTAGCATTGTTTCTATCATTTTTGTCAGTTTGAATCTTTTTTCTTCTTCGTCGCTGTCCTCCTCGTCTGGTGGTTTCTTTGGCGGTGGTTCTGGTGGTTTGTTGTTGTCGAGCATTTTAGTAAAGGCTGACACCATTGTGTCGCGTTGGTTTTTCAGTGTTTGTGTTGCTTGCGTTCTTGTTGGTTCATGTCTTTTGTATGTGTTGTGCCAAAAGTTTTTAAGCATTATTTTAAACATATTATCTTGGTTTTCCTTTACCTTAAACGCTTCAAATGTCATATTTAATTGTTGATTTGCATCATTATATAACTTTTCTTGAGTCTCTCTGGTTTCTGTGGCGATTGTATCTGTATTGGTTGCAATGTCAATAAATTCTCTCGGTATGCCCTTTTTCATCATTTTCGGTGGTTGTGTTGTTGTTGGTGTGTTTGGTTTTGTTAGGTTATGTATTGAAAAACTGTCGTCGTGATCATAATTATCATTGAACTTCTGCTTCTTTCTTTTCAGTATATTTTTAGTTAATATTATCATTATTATTATTATTATTATTATTTATATTTTTATTTCTTACCTTTACCCTTAAAACTTGCCTTGAGTTCTTCTATTCTACCTCTGCTTAAATTTGCTATCCATCCGCCATTATCAATAGTGTCTAAAATCATATCCACTAAATATTCTTTGTATGTTCTCGCCTTGCCTCTTCCCTTTTGTTTCAATTCTTCTTGTATTTCGCTTTCTTCTGGCACTTGAATTCCTCTTAAATAAAACTGAAAATTAATATCATTTACTGTTAAATTAGGGTTGTCTTTCCAGTAAGCGGGACTAATAGTATTATCTATTGTTGTTTTAAACAATGGCGTCATTGGCAATGG